AACTAAAGTTTTGTCATATAAAAGTACTATACAACCTTTTGTACTTAATAACACCACTATTGACGTCGTGGACTCTGTGGGATTGTTAGGACTTGTTGTAGACAACTCGTTAAAATGGGACTTGCACATCGAAGCTTTATCAAAGAAACTAAGCGCTGCCTGTTTTGCGCTAAGATCAGTTTCTAAAGAACTTAACTCATCAGCCTCTAGAATGGTCTATTATGCCCTTTTTGAGTCGCATCTTCGTTATGCCCTTCCATTCTGGGATACTTGCTGCGCGACAAAATTTGATCGTATTTTCAAACTTCAAAAGAGAGCAGTTCGATACTTATTGGGACTAAACAGTAGAACTCACTGCCAGAATTTCTTTAAAAATTTCAAAATACTGACTCTTTCTTATTCATTTTTGAATCCGTTTGCTTAACCCGCAAACACATATCTGCTATTCCCGAAAGGCCTTCTCACAACTATCCGCTTAGGAATGCGGAGCACGATATTTATTTGCCAACCCCGAGCTCAGAACTAGTTAAGGGCTCAATATTGTACAATGCCAAGAAAATGTACAATCATTTGCCTTCAAATATCAAGTCACTTTCATTCTTTTCCGCATTTCGCAAAGTTCTGAAATCATACTTATTGGAGAGAGCCCTATTTGCGGTAAACGACTTTTTTGTTGATGTTTAATCATGAACAATTTTGAATTTTAAAATGTTGATCCTCTCACACACTGGTTAAAGCTCTAGTATTTAATATTTAATATTTTATAACTCTTGACTTTATGATATATAACATGATTTTATGAATTTACAGTTTTCCTTTTCTAAAATTTTCTAGATACGCCTGTGTTCTGCAATGTCCATGGATGTTTTATTTGTAATTTTAATGACGTAACTTTTTTTGAATTGATTTGTATTGTATGACATTTTTTTATTATTTGTATATTTGTTTTTGTGCTTTTTTGTTTTGTGAATGCTTTGTCGATGAAGCTGTTGTGGTTTTTTGTTGCGTTGTTTTTTTTTAAATGTTACACAAATAAAACATTTATTTCAAAAAAATATAATAAATATATACCACTTTCCTATTAAAGAACATTGATTCCAAAACTTTCTAATTTTTAATATTTTCATTATTTAATTTTATTTACTATTTAAATTACCAACTTATAAAATACAAAATTTGTATGTGGAAAATACCTTTATAAAATATATAAAAATGGCGATATACCTAAATAATAGAGCTTTTTATTGGTTTTTATCTCAAGTTCCAGATGCGATAAAAAAGAAAAATATCTAAGTTAAATTGAGAAGGAAAGAAAAAAGTAGACTATAAAGTGGTATCGATTGATATTTAAATTGCTCGAAAAGTTTTAAATTGGGGTGTTTATTTTTGAAAATCGGCAGTTTTGGAGATTTTTCTGTTTTCTGATTTATATAACCGGATTAAGCCATTTAAATGTATAGAGAGCTTTAGTCTAATATATTACGTGATATATTTACTTGACTATTTAGTTTGAAAGGACTTGCTTGCCTAAGCTGAAATAAATTGGATAATCCTACTTTAGCGAACAGTTTTATCTTATGTAATTACACGTAGCACCCACGCACATACGGGGTCCGGCAATAGTGCGTCGGGCATCTGTAGCTCCTAGAATAAAGAACTTGGGAATTTTTTTTAGTTGCAAACCTGAAGTATGTACAAGGATGTATTTCAGGAAAATATTTTAACTTCTATTGGGTGGTAGCTCGAAAAAGTATCAGTGAATCGGGATGATTTTTTTTTAAATAGAACATCCTGTATATTATTGCATTTTTGGCTTGCTTTTCCAGATCACTTTACATATTCCTAAGATATGAGTAAGTATATCTCGATAATTTCAGAGATAGTAATAAATAAAGAAAAAATATGTAGATGTTTCAATCTTCCTTAAAAAATTATTACAAATACAAGAACTGTCGTGAAATCAAAACTATATTAAATATTTACTTTAAAATGGTCTATACTTACTTTGGTATAAATATCGTAATATTAAATCATACAGGGTGTTCAAAATTCTACGTCAAACTTTCCAAAATATAAAATATTTTTTCTTTGGTTTTTTAAATTAAACACCCTGTATATTTTTTTATATTAGATGGAAAGTTAAAAAGTGAGCATTTTTTGTATTTAAAATATTTCAAAATTTTTAATGTTTTCTCAGATACACGCAGTCTTATTTCATATGGCTCTTTCAACCGTAAAGTACGAGAGAAAAATCATTGGGTGTGGCTTTGATAAAAATTTGCTGTGAAAAATGCCATAAAAAATATATAACCGCGAATATCTGTAAAACACACGATGCAAACCAAAACAACGTCTCTATACCGGGCGCGGCTCGAGAGTGGCTAACCCCTATAACTTTTTTATTTTTTCAGATAAAATAATGACATTTGATATGTTAGTATATGACATAAATTAGGATTGATTGACGTATTCAATTGTCTTTGGTCACTTCCTGTTTCACCGGAAATGACTGCAGCTTTCGATTTTTAAATAGCACCCTCGGTATATTTCTACTTTATTCGATAAAAAATGACACTCTCAGTAGAATGACATATCATACGTCAACTTTTGACATTTTCGCAACATTTAATAAAAAAAATTGAGAGTGAGTTTTTTATGTGAATAAACGTCTATTTCACTTACTATTAATATTATGCGGTGATTAGTATTAGTTTAAACGTCAAAATGAAATAAAAAGACTTGGGACCATTTAAGCTGCAGTTTGACAGAATTTGTTATATAGTAAATCATTAATACAAAGGTCTGTTTGAATGAACAAATCGGCAACTTTAATTGGTCCCAATTATACATTATACTGTATACTGAAATAGTTTTATTTCATATTTAACAAATAGGGATATTTTTATAGCATACTAGGAGGACACAACTAATATAATAACAAAAAAAGAAGAATAAAAACAACAGGACCTTTGTATTAATGACTTACTATATAACAAATTCTGTCAAACTGCAGGTTAAATGGTCCCAAGTCTAATACTTTTTATTTCATTTGTTTAAACTAATACTAATCACCGCATAATATTAATAGTAAGTGAAATAGACGTTTATTCACATAAAAAACTCATTCTCAATTTTTTTATTACTTCTTGGTCATATGTCATATAGAAATCTCCTGAAATATACTATATCGACTTTATATTATTATATTACTATTTAAAATTCAGTGTATTTCTGTGGATTTCCTTGGATTTCTGTGGATTTCTTCAGATTTCTTTGGATTTCTGTGGATTTTCTTGGATTTATTTATTAAAAGTGGATTTGGTATACACAATTTGGTCAAGAAATCTATTAACGATATCTAGAAAAATCCACAGATATCTAATAGACATCCACAGAAATCCACGGAAATCCATTGAAATCCACAGAAATCAACTACCACGTTTTTTTAAAAAAATCTCAATTTTTTTCAAATGGAACCTTGAAATTCAAACAATTGAACATTTCAAATGACTCATTAGCATATTTGGAAAAAACATATTTTTTTGCGAATAATTTGGTACCACACACTTGGTATTTCAAGTCAAATTGTCGTTGAACCACATGTTACAATTTCAAATAAACCATATGTGAAAATATTAAAAGTTAATATATGATATGTCATTCTATTGAGAGAGTGTCATTTTCTATCGAATAAAGTAGAAATATACCGAGGGTGCCATTTAAAAATTAAAAGTTGTAGTCATTTCCGGTGAAACATGAGCATTGCCTGGAAACTTATATGGTAAAATTTTGATAAAATAATTTAGTACTCACTAAAAACACGGTATGTCGCTAGTGGTAGGAAAAATGATTTTTAGAGGTTACTAGTTTATTTGGTTGCCTGTGATATGCATATACAGGGTGTTTCCTAATTAATCTAAAAAATAAAAAATCGTTAGAAAACGGCTTAAGGCGGGCTCTTAATAAGTATATTTATTTTTTTCTCGGCAACCGTTTGATGAGCTAGAAAAACTCAAAAGATCAATTTTGTTGAAAAAGGATGGCCAGTCAAGAAAAAAAATATATTTTCTTTAAAAAGCAGTAGTGTACTATTTATGTTAAGCAAAATATCGATTTTTTTTAATTTTTAACACCCTGTAGATCAGAAAGGAAGTGCTTTAGACACATGAGGAATCACACCACAATTTTTTAGACTAATTAGAAAACACCCTGTATATTGTCAACTTGACAATGATTGTTGATAAATCAAAAAATACCTTTTCTGTGAAAAAAAACCGATTTTCGCAGGAAAAATTTTGGTTTTTATTGAATTTGGGCCTGCGTCTGCAAATACCGGTACGTTGTTTAATATTCTATCTATCTAAATTTTAAATATCATAGTTAGAAATAGTTTTATTATTTATTAACTGTAAAAATGGTACACTTATAAGTTTTATCAAATATTGTGATTTACTTTCTACCTTGTAGTCAAAATTTATATTTAATAAACTGTAAAATATATATATGTATATATATATATATATATATATATATATATATATATATATATATATATATATATATATATATATATATATATATATATATATATATATATATATATATATATATATATATATATATATATATATATATATATTCTTATGTTTTATTAAAGTTACTCTGATATACTAATATATCAGTGTAACTTTAAAACTAAATCCTTTGAAATCAAATATAAACATAAAAAATATTTACAGCAGAAAAGACGAAGGCGCTGGGTTAAACGTAGTCTCTACTAAGAACACGGAGGGGCGCTTTGGCCCAAAATTTTACTATTAAGTTTCATATCTATCTTAATAGAAGATTATTTTCTTTTATCTATGAACATTAGTGACAAAAATACGTCAATGAATCCTAATTTATGTCATATACTAACATACCAAATGTCGTTTTTTATTTGAAAAAATAAACAAGTTATAGGGGTGAGTCACTTTTGAGATGCACGCATTTTTTCTTACCTTCTTCTGTCTCAATTTTATAGCTAATTTCAGCCGATTCAAGTGCATCCTGTCACCATGCTCGAAGGCTGGTCCCGTGGGATCGTGATTGAGCAGTACTTCCAGCTCGTACGAGCTACGAGTATGATCTAAAAGTGCCGTGGCAAAATCCTGACACTGCTTTCGCAATTCCTGGTACTCGCCTCGAAATTCGTGCTCCATGAAACTCAATCTGCAAAAAACAGAGACGGATTGCTATCTAACGATTTTTTGTTGTAAAACTGTTAATTATAAATAGTGATGGGAAAAACCGATTAATTTCAATAATCGACTACTCGAGGTTCAAGTGATCGCAATAACCGAGTGATCGCTTGAGCGAAATATCACTCGTATTTAAAAAGACGGGTTTTCATCTGTCGCTTGTTATAAGTACTCGTTAACGCCAAGCGCCAAGCAGTAAGCTGCGTGCGCAGGGCACATATTCTTTCGGTAAGTAGCAAGCGGCGAGCGATTCGCTTGATTTGATCGCTTGATTTAGTTTATTTCAAAGCATTGTCGATGTAGGTCGTAAAATTTTGTCCCTCAGATACGCAACAAAAAAATGTATGTAGAAAATTCGCTCGGTTTTTTATCGAGTACAGTCTGACAAACGGATCTGAAACAACAGGGCAACGGTAAGGGGATCGCAATTTTCTAAAATCGTGACCGATTTCATTCATAAAATATCCACGAGCGTGCGGTGTTTCATAAAAATATATCAGGAATTTTTATAATATTTTCCAGTTAAGTTTATAATATTATTTTACTTTAAATGTACCTACATTTTGTTAAGCCATTTGCCAAATATAGTAATATTTGTTAAAACGCGTGTACTAATTACAATAAACACAAATGAAGTTAAATATATAAAACACAATACAACAACACCGCCACTGGATTTTTCAATAGTAGTGACTGTTTCTACTATTCCTAGAGAGGGGCATAAAGTTGGGGGTTGTTAACACCTACCCTATATAATTCATAAAATTCGCTTAACGCGCCAACAGTAGTCAAGATCTGCGCAGGTCCAAGGATGAATGCTGTCTTGAGATGTCAAGACTTCACTTCGTCGCGCGCCCTGCTTGATAACGGATCTCTATTTTAATTAATAAATTAGTTTATTAATAATGTATATCTATAAAGAGACCACACTGTCTCTAATAGGGGTAATGGAGGCAAGACGTGAGCAGGCAGCTTACCCTAAGCGGACGTTATCTTCAGGGAATACTTTACCTTTTATAATAGGCTGAATGAACGAAATCAGTAAATTAGATAAATATACATTAATTATATAAGAACTACATGAACATATTAGCATATATACAGGGTGTTTCAAAACAAATGCGAAAAACTTCAGGGGGTGATTCCTTGTTCAAAATAAAGGGTAGTTTGCTTCATAAACGTTGGGTCAAAAATCAACCATTAGGGAGATATCGCGGTACAAAGATGGCGGAAAAATAATGTTTTTATTTTTTATCTTGAAAACGAAAAGAGATAGACTAATGAAATTTTATAGAAGCATTACTGTTATAAAAACACACTTTCTGGTATTTTTTTCACTTTTTTAAAATGAGTGGAAGGGGTTGAAATAAGCTACCCCTAGAATTTTATTTTTTTTATAGAAAAAAAAACTACCCCTATCATTCTTATTAACGAAATTTAAAGAAAAATCTTATCAAACACATGCAAAAAAATTAATTTAGATAGTTTAGTTTGTTTAGAACCTTTTTTATCTCTTGCATTTTTTTGATAAAATTCACCGATTTGAAACTAAAAAATAAAATGTAAAGCATTACATGTCAGGACAAAAAACATTTTTAGATAAAGAATCTAGTGGGATGCTGTAATTTTTTAGGAAAAAAATCTAGTTGGTCACTTTTTAGGATGTTTCTAATATTATTTTATTTTACATTACTCTACTGCAATACGATATTATCTAGATTATTATTATTATCGTTATTATCACTAGATTCTTTATCTAAAAATATTTTTTTTCCTGACATGGTAATGCTTTACATTTTATTTTTTAATTTCAAATCGGTGAGTTTTATCCAAAAAATACAAGAGATAAAAAAGTTTCTAAACAAACTAAACTATCCAAATTAATTTTTTTGCATGTGTTTGATACGATTTTTCTTCAAATTTCATTAACAAGAATGATAGGGGTAGTTTATTTTAACACCTTCCACTAATTTTAAAAAAGTGAGAAAATTACCAGAAAGTGTGTTTTCATAACAGTAATGCTTCCATAAAATTTCATTAGTCTATCGCTTTTCGTTTTCAAGATAAAAAATTAAAACATTATTTTTCCGCCATATTTGTACCGCGATATCTCCCTAATGGTTGACTTTTGACCCAACGTTTATAAACAAACTACCCTTTATTTTGAACAAGGAATCACCTCCTGAAGTTTTTCGCATTTGTTTTGAAACACCCTGTATATAATTATGTATGCTGAAATTAATTAAAATATATTCAATTTATGGGTAATATCGAGCAACTTTGCTTTTCTATAATTAAACCTGACAACATCGACTTTTTTTGCCCGAATTCCTTCCGCTGTTTTAGATTCGTTTGTCAGATAATAGGTATGTCTCATTAAAATCGTATTTCAATTTATTTCATTCTAGGATCGCTTGCGTTCGTCGCTCGTAACTCGTCACTTGCATCGCTCGTTCATAATTGAGTGATGTCAGTTATTTCAATGATCGAGTACTCGAGCGAATTTTCGCTCGAGTTATCCCATCACTAATTATAAATGACAGTTTCCAACAGTTGCTATTTCACAGAGCGTTGACTGAACACTACCAAGGTAGGATCGTCTTTAATAGAAGGAGGGTGTTATACATATAACGACATGTTATTTCACAACTGTTATTCTCAGATGTGAGTTATCAACAGTTATTATTTCGAAGAAGTGTCAGTGCTCCGAAAACAAACATTCAGGATTTAATGCATCGAGTCCTGAAGCACAAAATCGAAACATTTAATAGTTCTATCTAAAAATAACAGTTACAAAAATGGCCGTATGTGAAGTCATGATTTCTGGCCACAAAATGGTACCAGACTTTCGAGTAAGATACATTTTTTAAACAACAGTCGCAATTTTTAATCATTTTATAATAAAATAAATAACAAAAAAAAACTGTTATTTCAATCTGTTATTTTTAAATGAGAGTAACAGTTTCAACTGTTCTCTCAAAATAACAGTTGATTGCACCTTCACTGTGAAAGAAAATTTTGCGATAAATGTCGCCAAAGGGCCATAAAGGGTGGAAAATAAGGGGTAGGAAGGTGGTTAGCTTGGCTTTCGGGTCGTCAGGATTAATATCTCTATTATGTTTGGGGAACCCGGCTGATGTAAAAGATAACGATCCGTGACGTTTAAACCTTAGTTAATCGTCAAAGTTATATATCTATCCCTCTAGATAGCCCTATTTGTTGAAATAGAAAATATAGAGCTTTTTATACAGTGTAGTGTTTATACTACATGGATGTAGAAAATAATACTACAAGGATACAAATTTTATTCATACAGGGTCCGGCAATAGTGCGTCGGGCATCTGTAGCTCCTAGAATAAAAAAAAACTTGAGAATTTTGTTTAAGCACAAACCTAAAGTATCTACCAGGATGTATTCCAGGAAAATATTTTAATTTCTATATTTTTTAAATGGAATACCCTGTATATTATTGCATTTTTGGCTTCCTTTCAGATCATTTTACATAATCCTAAGATACGAGTAAATATATTTCGATAGTTTCAGAGATATTAAAAAATAAATCAAAAATATATATTTCCTAGCTCTTCTTAAAAAATTATTAAAAATACAAGAACTGTTCTGAAATCAAAACTATATTAGGTGTTTAATTTAGATGGTCTGTTCTTACTTTGCTATAAATATGGCAATCGTAAATTGTACAGGATGTTTAATATATATCCTACGCCAAACTTTCTAAAATATAAAATATCTTTTCTTTGTTTTTTTTTTAAATGGTACACCCAGTATATTATTTTTTATTAGATGGAGAGTTAAAAAATGAACATTTTTTACATCTAAAGTATTTCAAAATTTTTAATAATAGTTTTGCAGATACACGCAGTATTATTTCATATGGCGCTCTCAATGGTAAAATACGAGAGAAAAATCGTTGGGTGGCAAAAAAAAATTACTGTGGAAAATGCCATATGAAATATAAAACCGCGAATATCTGCAAAATCGTTAAAAATTTTGAAATACTCTAAATACAAAAAATGTTTATTTTTTAATTCTCCATCGATTGAAAATATAATATACAAGGGGTTCCATTTAAAAAAAAACGAAGAAAAACTATTTTATATTTTAGAAAGTTTGTCGTAGAGTTTTGAACATCCTGATTGATTTATGATGTCCATATTTATAGGAAAGTAAGTACAGACCATCTAAAGTAAATACCTAATATAGTTTTGATTTTAGGACAGTTTTTGTATTATTAATAACTTTTTAAGAAAGGGCTGAAAAATACATATATAATTTTTATTTATTTATTAATATCTCTAAAATTATCGAAACATATTTACTCATGTGTTAGGATTATGTAAAGTGATCTGAAAGAAAGCTAAAAATGCAATAATATACAGGGTGTTCCATTAAAAAATCAACCCGATTCACTCACACTTCTTTGAGCCACCCTATAGAAGTTAAAATATTTTCCTGAAATACATCCTAGTATATACTTTAGGATTGGACTTAAACAAAATTCCCAAGTTTTTTTATTCTAGGAGCTACAGACATTGGATTTTTTTGAAGTAATTTGGGGTTATTAAAACAATAAAATCGTTATTTTTATATTTGCAAAATTATTACACAGCAAATTTACAGCTGTATATGAAAAACCGTTCGAATCTGCTGTTACTGTCCTTTCTGCTTAAAACGTGTACGGATATCCGAAACAGACATATCAGGAACAAAGCCAACAATTAAATTAAACAACTGTTCTGGATTTATATATAGTAAATAGCCAGACAATTCACTTTATGATATGTGTGAAATATATTAAAATTAAAGGATAAAGATTTATCATAAATCAAGACTAATAATTTGGAAAAACAATACCATCAATATTTGACAAAAATACAAAACAGAATTTTAAAAACAATTCTTAAATTTTCATAAGGAGATATCACACTCGTGTCACAGCCTATTTAGTACCAG